CCCCCCCCGGCTGCCGCACACACGAGAGAGGCGGCGTTCACGCCGCGTTCGAGCAATGCGTATCGACCTTACGAAGGATGCAAATATTTACACGTCGCTGGGCCCGGGTGTCCAATTATCGCGGTTCGCGGCGTTTTATCTCGCACGCTAACTTCGCAATGATATGCAAAGCGACTCTATTAATTCCCCCCTCCCTCCCGAGCAGGCACGCTCTCCCGTAACACGCTCGGGAACTTGTATCTGATGCGGCGTCGTATATCCCGCTCGCGTACCGGTCCGAATTTAGGACCTGCCGCGTGTACGCTTTGTAATTTATTCTATTACGCGTCTCATTGGTAACCGCGGCGGTACCGACTTGTCCTCCTCATTTCCCTCGTCGTCGGCGCACGCAGTCTCACGCACACGCGGAAAGCGCGCGATTCGCCGGCGTATACCTTCAATCGGGGTATTTTGTTTCCTTCTTTCCGGTGATACAAAAGGGTTGGATCAGGTCGGGTTATACGAAAGGTGAAGAGAAATCGCAGCATTTACTTCATTTTCCTTAAATTTCCCGATAGCTTCGGATTTTTTGCGCCAGTCTCATCTTCCTGCACATTTTGAGGGGTAACTTGGAGAAAATTTCTCAAAGCTTTCAACATCGAGTCTCCTGAAGTGGGGTCCAAAATATGAATCTTATCAAGAGTATCTCCCATAGGAACGGTCTTTGTGAGTTACATTTTCCGATCCATCTATATATTGAGAAAACTTGGGAACTCCTCGACAAAAATGTTCAAACTCATTTTTCTCGAAAAGTAGCCGCCCGTTTGCAAAGTTATACGGGGCTTTCTTGTAGCTATACAAACCCTTATGACTCCTTTGAAAATAACCGACACAGCTTTCGAAAGAATTAATCTTGAATAATTTTACCTGTTTATGATGATTATATAACGAATTGAAAGCTGAAGTGTAAAAATGTATTATCACTAGATAAAAGATACTAGAAAAAGTTTGAGGATTATCTGAAAAGTAATACAAATTTAAAAGCGTACAAATAAAGCCTAATATACTTGCCCCGATTACTAAACTTTCCCGATCCAATATCCGGACACGATTATCATCCGAATGAAATTGTTTGTTGACTATTTATCGCGATTTTATGGCAATAATTGTGACAATTACTCCATAAATATTCCGTAAACTATATATTTGATATGAAATATTTTTTCCGTCATTTATCTAATTAACTCGCAACTGATTTGGACATATGTCAGATTGTAATAATGAAGGTTGAAACAGTTTTGTTACATAACGCACGATTGTATAAATGAACGGATACAAATGGCCGAGTTAAAGAGTTAATATATTGCAACAGAAATAGAGGGAATGAAAGCGTTCGAGATTAATAATGATGAGTGTGCCGGTATGAGTCCGGATATAGAAACACGTCCGGCAATTGATATTTTAACCCGTTACTTTATGATTCGCGGTAACAATATATTAAGCTACAATAAAGCCATAACATTCACTAGACTAAAACTCATCGGTCTTTCTAATCGTCCGTGTCAAAATATTCATACAAATTATGATCGTTGATTATTCGGCCAATTTACAACTTTGACAATTTAATATATATACATCACGCATACATTGTATCATACATCGTATCTCCCGTATCTATATCGTATTATATTGCACCATATCGTATCGTATCGAATTTTAATATTTCCAGACACGATGTGGGAACGGTTAGGAACAGTGAATTTCGGCTTGATAAATTTTAAGGCCTTACTGAAGCACAGCTTCGTTTCGCACGCAATTTTCACTCCACGGGGGCTGCTCGGAACCTTTGAGCTTCGCAGGAAGCTACTCGTATCACCACGCGCGCGTCCGTTGGAAATAAAAGAAGATGATGATGATAATGATGAAGAAGGGTTGCTGTGCGCCATCGGCTCGCATCAGCGGCGCGTCGAGAACTCGCTCGAGAACGTGATTAAAAGTCCCGGCCGATATCTAGCTAATTATAGGCACGCTGCGCACAAACGGCCCGCTAATTACATGTCCCGGCGTAATGGGTAACCCTTAACCGAGGCACAAAAGATTCCGGATCCCGCGCGCTCAACCAGCGTGAAATCATTTGTGATTCTCTCTCTCTCTCTCGGTTCCTCGCAGCCCGACATCGCCCCATCGTCTATTCCGTCCGCGTACTAACCCTCGCTGTCTCGTCTTCCTTTGCAGATGACTTTGCAAGTGTCGTGGGTCCGACACAGGGACGTCCATTTGCTCACGATTGGCCGTTACACGTACACGAACGACCAGCGATTTCGCGTGATCCATCCCGCCCAGTCGGAGGACTGGACGCTGCAAATAAAGTATCCGCAGCACCGGGACAGCGGCATTTACGAGTGCCAGGTCTCCACGACGCCCCACATGAGTCACCTAGTCCATTTAAGTGTAATCGGTAAGTCACGCTGGATCAGCTACCATCGATGCCGACGCATGATCGATCGCAGTCGACAACGCGACCGAAGCAACGCGCGAGATTAGCAGTCAGGGGATCGATCGTGTATCCTCGTAGACTTTTTCTTCAACTCTCGTGTGATTTCCGTCTCCTGTGAATGAATACGCACGATTGGCTGTACATAAAGTGAAAATACGACATCGTTCGATACCATTCGACACGAAATTACTTACCCAGCGAAATCTCACGTGAGACGTCTCGCGTTTCATGCTGAAAGAATCGAGTGCTCGCTTTTGTCATTCTCGCCATGTTTCGAGACGCACAATCGACCCTCTCACCCGGTGTACGTATGTACGTGTGTGTATGTGTGTGACCAATCGCGCGTGCTCCAAACCACGAGAAGGTCGAGACACATTTTCGAACGACTCGCTCGTGTTGACGTAGCGCGGTGTATCATCGCGAAATTCGCAAAGACGTTACGAATTTCGAGGCATCCGGTGGAAGGAGGGTCGCGAACAAAGCGTGGCTGAGGAGACGCAGAGCGAGAGCGCCGATCGCTTCCGGGTGTGAACATCGATCGTAAGACGTGATTGGGCGCCCCGGAACCGGTCCAACTCCCCTGCCTCTTGCGTGCGCGCGGATGGCCGCGACGTTACGCGGGTTCTCATCAAATATTAGTATGCGGCGAGCATGCGGAAATTCCGCCTAATTACGATGTGGTGTACGCAACAATTAGTTAATCCTAATCCGAACCCGCCCCGGTTACCGGTGGCAACTGCGCGGAATTTAAGCCGAGCTTAAATTCTGGCGAGGCGCCAATTGAACACCTGGGATTGGTTGATACCGATGTCGAGGTAAGCTCCGGCCTCCTCCAGATAGGGGGACGGGCTTTCCATTACCGGAAATTATCCGACCGAACTTAAATTCGCCGGCGACACCCTTCGACTTTCCCCCCTCCCCCACCCCCATCGCCCTCTTATCGCCGCTTCCGTTCGCGCGGGAGGAACGTTCGCCTCGCGAATAATTACTTACACACCGTAATCGAACGCACGTGTAAGCGTTCGCGCAAATAGGATGGGGGGGGGGGGACGCGTACACGTATATTTCATTCGGTGACACGCGGACCGATTTGATCGCGCGCACCTCGGATGGCCGAACGAGCGCGAAAGAAGTTTGCCGAGACCGGGATCGCTTTAAGGAGCAAACTTTTACACTCCTCTTATATCGCGCGCGCAGCGCTATGAAAAACTTTCGCGATCGCTTAAACGTCAGACCGGGAATTTATCTGCGAGCGGCGCGGCGAATTGATTTAAATCGTCCCGAGGGCGAGTGGTGGCGCGCGTCGCCCCCCGCGCTCTCTCGCGCCCTCGGACGCGACCTCGCGCTCGTTTGCCCAATTGTAACGTTATATATTACTTTGTTAAAGAGTGCAAACACACACGGTGTCCTGACAATAAATTATTCGTCTAGTAAATATTAAGTATGTGAAACTTCATTCTTTCTCGACAGAAATAAAGCTCTGTTTCTGGATGGCCAGCGGATCACTAATATCCACATACAACATCCCGCGTATAGTTTTCATTTGTTAACAGTTCAATGTGTATGAACGTAGCGCGAGTTTCATCGAATTCTTATCGAACTCATTTTACGTTACACCTCCTCACCTTAACCTTCTTAAGTCTCGCCACTGGCGGCCGAGAAGCCGCCTCTTTAAATTTAACCTACATTGAAACGGAGGTGAACGAAGGGACCGGAGCGGTCGTATTTCTCTCTTCCTGTATTCTTTTTCTTTCTCCCGTCCTCTTCTTCTTCATCATGTTCTTCTTCTCCTCCTCCTCCTTCTCCTCCCTCTTTCCGCCCGTTATTCCCCTCGGAAGCGATCTCGGAAGCGAAACGCACGCGCCGAAGCCCGCGGCGTAGAAGATGGGTAAGGAAAGGGGATCGTTTATCATTTTCCAGCCCTGACCCTTAACGCAACGGCTGAACAAATGATCCTAAAGAGCAACGGCTATACACACCTGCTCGGAGATCGCCTTCTCTCCCCCTTTTTCGCTCTCTCTCTCTCTCTCTCTCTCGAGAAAGAGCGTTGTGCCTTTCTTCCGCAGGTAACGTAATTACTCATCATCAGGAAGAAGGGTAACTTCGACGGCTCGCGTTCACTCTTTACGGCTTGCACAACAAATCCGAGCTCGATAAAATCTTTCCCCACAGTCGCCGCTCCGTTAACCGAATAGTCGCCGTCGGCCGGATAAATAATCGCGCCGCGCGAACTCCGCGTCTCTCAGCGAGAGTTCCGTGGCTTCTCCTTGCACATAACACCGTGACTCGATTCTTCTTCTTCTTCTTCTCCCTCCTTTTCCCCCACCATCTTCTTCTCTTTGTTTCTCGCACGCGTATTATTATTACTCTACAGTCGCCGTGGCAACACCGGAGGGGGGCGAACGCGCAGGTAAAAAATACTTCCTCTTCACGTACGAATCGATAACCGGTCTCGCGCAGCGACAATCAAGTAGACTTTACGACTCGTACGATATCGGATCGATGAGCTTGTATAACAGTCGAGAAACAATTTATCGGGAACAATTTCAGCCACTTGTACACTTATCGAAGTTATCGAGTCCCATCGCGTCTTACATCACGGAGAGATCCTCGAGATCGAGAGGAAGAAAGAGGGAAACGTGTACGCAGGAGAGCACGGTAAATTTTGTTTGCGACGTGGTAGAACGGGAAACTCCGGCTTTCCGAGTTACGAGAGACGGAGAGGGCTGTCGCCTCCCCGTTCGAAGGGGGGAGGGGGGGCCTCGATGGCCAAGTTCATAAATTAATTAGCGCGTTTACCGGCACACTGCCGGAAGAAAATGTGCGTTAATTACACGGCACGTTTTACTTTTAAGGCACGTTTTCTAGCTTATCGCGTCCCTCCCCCTCTCCTCTGCCGAGCGCGCCGCCACAAGCGCGCGCGGAGCCGGAAGTTAGTTCTGCGGATTATCGTCCGTTAATTATCAGCCTCGCTAACAATTAAGCGCTAAGCCTAAGCCACCCCGTGACTATTATTAACAATGCGATCTCGCGACAGATATCTCCAACTAATATCGCTGCACTTGGAGGAGGCGAGAGGGAGAGTGAGGGAGGAGGGGGGCGGTATGAAATCGGTAAACTGATTATGGTGGCGAAGACTCGCGCCGGTTATCGTGCCGTTTAAATGAATACCAAACTTTCCCGTTGCGGCGAGGCATCCGCAAATATTTCCGTTTCCCGGGGTTATCCCTCTGTGCTTAAGTTGCGCCGGTATTTACATTCACTTACCGCCTCGCCCCGAGAGAAAAAGAGAGAGAGAGAGAGAGGGATACGCGGGCTTTCGTGCGCGATGTCTTCGTGCGCGGTGATTGTATTTGCACGTTTCTCCTGCTTCTTTTTCATCTCAAAGGGAGGGAAGCCACCAACGGACCAAAGGGCCGACGTTTGCTATTTAACATTCTTTCGGATCGACTAATTGGTGGTTTTTCTAACGCTCCCCCCTCCCCCAACTCCTCCTCCCCCCCGTCCGCCGTTCGGCGCGCTTCGGATGCGCGGAGCGTGACGGGGAATGCAAAGCGGCTCTCTCTTGTGTTGCCTCTCTCTTTCTCTTTCTTTCTCTCTCTCCCTCTCTCTCTTTATCTATATATCTCGCTCGTTTTACCGAGTTTTACACAGTCGCGTATCTACGTCGTCGAAACAGCGGCGTGATGTAACGCGGTTTATTTTTCTAAGTCAAGGCACAATAGATTCCGCGGCGCGATTTACGGGTCCGCCGCTTACATTCTTCAAGATTTCGTTTAACCATTGTAAATAAAATTGCTCGACGACTGCGGGTATTTTTCTTGTTAAAGTACCGCCGGCGCGGCGGGGCGTCGGCCTTCCTCTTTCCACCTTCTTTCGTTCTTTCAGTTTCTCTCTCTCTCTCTCCCTTTTTTTTTTTTTTCGTCAGTCTCCCGTTGAAAAATTGCTTTCCGAGCTGGCGCTACGCGATCGCGAGACGTCTTTATCATCGCGCCCGCCCTTCCGCCTACCGTTGTCCGCCTTCGAGTCGCCTTTTGTTTCAAACCCATCGAGCTAAATCCCCCCATGAAACCGATATTTAAAGAGCACCCGTCGATAAAGCGGTTTTCAATCAGTGGGACGCGGGCTTCTTTAATTCCTCCCGACGCAACGCGTTCCTCTCTACTTTTCCTCTCCTTTTTCTCCCGTTTCCCTCGCCCTTCCGGCTGTGTTTTCCCCGCTTTCGTTTTTTCCCCCTTCTTTTTTTTTTTTTCCGACGTTGCTCCGTTCTCTGCAAATGATGGCCGAGTAAAAACGCGCGAATATTCGATGCGCGAAAACGCAACGCTGAATGAGAACGTACAATATTCAGTTTCCTGTTAGCGTTATATATATATATTTTTTTTTTCCCCCTCGCGATATATTAACGCGTATCTCGTCCCGGGCAACTACCCGGGTAACAGATATTACGCGTATCTTCCAATCACTAGAGGAGGCTAACGACCCCGTATAACCGACATCGCCGGCCTTTATTAACGCGTTAAGCTCGATTCCGTTCGGGCAGACGTCGCGCGTATCGCGCCGGTATTTCAGCCGGCGCCTTCGTCCCTCGCCTATAAATGTGCTTCCTCCCCGTAATGCGGCTCGCAAATTTGCAATATCCATACTTTCGCGTTACCCTCCCCCCTTACCCGGCAGCCCGAGCGGCGCTCGGCACTCACCTCCGTCACTCCATTTCTGCCTTTACGAGCGCGTAAAAGCTCGTAATGACGTGGCCGGGACGCCACAGAGAGAATCGCTTCTCGCGGACAATTAATTATCGCGCGTAGGCGGCAGCAATCGTCGGGATCATCGCGGCTCGTTTGCGTTCTGTATTTGCCGGCGTGTATACCGCGGCGGGATGACGAGGGGAGGGCCCGATATTCCTCCGGGGGGTAGTTAATTCGCGCGATAGTAAGAGGATCGCGCGGAATGCGCGCGGA